AGGGCCATAATAGGCGTGGATTTATTAAAAATATTTTTTTCAAGGGCCATAATAGGCGTGGATTTATTAAAAATATTTTTTTCAAAGGCAATAATAGGCGTGGATTTATTAAAAATATTTTTTTCAAAGGCAATAATAGGCGTGGATTTATTTAAAATATTATTTAAAGGCCACAATTAAAAACCTGTGAACGGAGCAGTATAGTCGGACTGGGCCAACCATACGATGCCCTACACAACTAGCACAGAACTCTATCTTTCTGCGGATTTTTATTCTGAGCCTGGGTAATATTTCGTGATAGTTGCACCTTGTAATTTTTCACACAAAAGTCAGGATCCATTTGACCCGCTGAACATTGACCGATCTTTATCAAAATAGGCATGCTTATTCTTTGACCCAATCCCCTTCTCCATGTTTGGGTCATAACTGCGTCCTCTGGAGCGACCAGAAAACCCGACAAAAATTAAGTATTTGGTCCACTTCATCCCCTAAATATTAACCGATATTTTCCAAAAACAATAGGGGTCTTTATTGGGCCGAACCCATCATACATGCAAAAAGAAGTTTGGTGAAGATTGGTCCATAACTGTGGCCTGTATCGTGTTTACAAATTATAATGGACAGACGGACGGACACATCGACTCAGCTAGTCGAGATATGACGATTGGTAGGTCTAGGACAAATATTTCGCGGCCTTTTTAATATTTTTAAAGATTTATTACAACACAAAAATGGATTTTTGTGGTCTTCATAGCCGCTGATTTTTAAGAATATTTTTTATTTATTTACTGATTTTATTTTTACATTCTACACAATCCCCATAATAAATGTATAACGAATTCTAATGATTTTTCTGAGACAATATCTTCAACAATTCTCTGGCTTCTTTCTTAATTAATTTACCATTTAAATTCTGAGGTAACTTGTCAACAAAATAGGCTCCGGCATTGAGATGTTTATGTGGCGAAACCAGACGTTTCTTGACATGTTCAATAATATGCCGCTCTTTTAAAGCACTTCCATCAGCTAATACGACCAAAGCTCCGGCCAAATCACCATCGGTTTCATTAACCATAGATACCACACAGACATCACGAACCCCCTGCAGCTCAGCAATGACTCCTTCAATTTCATTTGTTGAAAATTGCATGCCTCTATATTTCAAAATTTCCTTTTTACGATCGACAATAAATAAATCATGCTCATCATCTACATAACCCAAATCTCCACTGTGGAACCATCCCCGACTATCAAAGGCCTTTTCAGTTTCAAGGGGGTTATTGTAATAACCATTCCATGGATGAGGCATTCTGATTACAATTTCTCCAATTTCATTTGGGCCACAATGCTGCCCGTCATCGGTAACAATGGCCATTTGAAGATTATTGAATAATTTTCCCACTGAATTGAATTTCCGTTTTTCCAATCTTTGGGATATTGGACCCATTTCTGTGCTGCCATAACAAAAGCCAATTTGTGCACTTTCAGTACATAATTGTATTAATTTTTCCGAATTTACTTCACTCAGCGTCGAACCACCAAATGTTATGGCTTTCAAGTGTTTTAGAGATTCGCGGGATACATTAGGATGCTGAACCAATGCAGCAACGTAGCGGGATGATAGGAAAGCTGTGGTAATTTTATATTTCTGAAGAATTTCCAAGAAGTGACCTGCTTCAAAACTTCTGTTAAATATTATCCTTGTAAAGCCTACTATACAGCTACTGAAAAGGAAAAATATGCCGGTAATCCAATCGATGCCACTGGATATATAGAGAACGCTGTCATAATTATTGACCCTGGAAATTTGTTTGAGATTATTAGAAAAGTTAAAATAATAGACATATATAAGGGAATCTTACCAATCGTGTATGAGGAACAGTGAAGATGAAATGCAAACGGCTTTAGGCTTGCCAGTTGTCCCCGAAGAACAAAGAATTGCTACGGTTTGATGAATTCCCTTGGATAACTTTACAGGTCTGGAAAATATTTAAAACCAGTAAAAAGTCGTTATGTTAGGTTTGGCATTTGACTCATTCGGATCATTCTACTTTAAAAAATGCATTTTGGGGACTTGTCACCTATATCCTTACCTATATGAATTTTCGGTTGTTGTAACTTCCAATAGATCTTCAATTTTGGTTACACCTTTTACATGTCCCGATAACGTATACAATTTTGTCCTAAAAGAACTTGATGCCTTTTGAAATAATTCATAGTTATCTCCATCGCAGAATATTAATTTCGGTTTGGTTATATTTAAGCAATGGGAAATAGTGTCTGAAAATAGATTAAAATTTTATTTTACGTAAAAAAAGTAAAAATGTTTCAATTTCAAATTAGTTGAAAAGAGTTTGGCCCAAAGGACCTTGGAGTTTGAAACGAAATTTCGACGAATTGCCCTAACGTCGTCAAACTTACCCAAGTCCAATTTTGGATTAACTGTGTGTATTGGAGTACCATTAAATAGACAACCCAATACGGCGGGTAGGACATATGTTGTATTGCTAGCCACAATGCTTATAACATCATTCTCGCTCAATTGTAGTTTTCTCAGGTGTTGTGCTATGCGTATGCCCCAGAGTAATGCTTGCTGACTCGTTACTTTGGTATTATTTGTATCATCGATCTGAAATTAAAGCAAAAAATACCCCATATAAAATTGTAAGGCATATACCAGAGGGGATGGGACTATATAACCGATCACAAGATCACAATTCGCCTTCGACATGTCAAAATAGTCTCTAATGAAGAATTTAATTTTCATAGAGGATAACAATGATTAACAATGTATGTATTTCCATGTTTAAGCATAACCTGCAAAGGAGGGTTGCGGACGATTTTAATTATTTTCACTCATGAACCTCGTAAATATTTTCACGGTGAACCTCATAGTGTTGTCGCAGATATATTTTTTGATAAACGACATACCATTTAAGTACTGAGATAGCATGTCTACAAAATAGACTCCGGCATTGATATAATACCAGGCGTTTCTTGACATGTTGAATAATATGTTATTCCTTTAAAACACGACCAAAGCCGCCTCCAAATAACCTACATATATATACCGGCATTCTTCAATAAAGCGTATCGAAATCTAAGCATTCCTTTAGAGGAATTCCCACCTTTGAGTTTTAATATCAAACATTTACTTATTATTGACATTTTTATACCCTACACAACTATTTTGTCAGCGTATTATAGCTTTTTGCAACCCCAAAAGCTTGTAACGCCGCGAAATATTATATCTCGACTAGCTGAGTCGATCTAGACATGTGTGTCCGTCCGCCTGTCCATTATAATTTGTAAACACGATACAGGCAACAGTTATGGACCAATCTTCACGAAATGTTGCATGCAGGAAGGTGTCTGCCCAATGAAGACCCCTACTGTTTTTGGTAAAGATCGGTTAATATTTAGGGGATGAAATGGACCAAATACTCAATTTTTGTCAGTTTTTTCTGGTCGCTCCAGAGGCCGCAGTTATGGTCCGAACACCATGAAATTTTACATGGAGAAGGGGATCGGGCCAAAGAATAAGCATGCCTGTTTCGATAAAGATCGGCCAACTGCAGACAATAGGCAATTTTCTATTAAATGTTGTTTTGAACTTATTATTATAATGGGTGGAGGGAATAAAAAATCTGTGAACGTAAATCGATCACTTTTCATACGGAGTTGTTTTCATATAATCGTTAAACTCAAGGTTTATTCATAAGGTCAATTAAGGTTAATTAAGTCGAATTCATGCCATAGACTTCTCTTTTCTGTCAAAAATTTTATCGCGAAATACCAACCAGAACAGGATAAAAACTCAAAATATCTTTTAGGAAAACATAGTGATAGTAATTTGCACATATATTTTGGTTCGAATAAGCATATTTTTTTTTTATTTATTCTTCAAACAATAAGTTTGACCGTCAATGAAGACCTTGAATTCGGATACATTATTTTTATGTATAAATTTCAAATTATATTTGCTTTAAAAAATGTTTGTTGATTATTTTGTTTAATTTTCGCGAAGCAGATGGTTTTTATTTACGTTTTTTCACAGTGTTGGTTGATGTTTTCTGGCTTCCACATTACACCTAAATTATAAAACGATTCGTTACGTGTCGACTCTCAGAATTAGAAAATTGCGAAACGATTGGAATTATTTGCAATACACAATTATTTCTCTATCGACTCTCAGAATCAGCCCCAGGGTAAAATTCTAAGACGATCTAGCCATGTCCGTCCGTCTGCTGTAATCACGCCACCTTCTGAATGAATTGAGATAGGGTGCTGAAATTTTGCATAGGTTTGTCTTTTGTCTGCAGACAGGTCATGCTTTTTCATTTGTTTATATTTTCCTTAAAAAATGTAATGTATGAAAGTTTACGCGTTTCACAATAAACCAAAACTCAGCTTCAACGGATGTTAATTTATCGTCAAGAGATCGATATATATTCTGTATTTGTTTCACTTTATATAAATAACTGACCAACCACTGCAACGAACCTGTATCACTTTATTGGGAAAATTTTGCAATTGTTGATAGACAATTTGTCCCAATGATGTACTCTCACTATAAATGGGATCTTCTCTTTCACTAGACCATATTTTATTAACTTTATCGTAGGTAATACTCATATTTCCGCAATCGAGATAACCGTTTCCAATGCTACTTAACCTATTGACGAATCACAACTAAATCTACTTCAATGCAATTTTGCCCTTTTTTAAAACAGTGCATTTTACTTGCAACCGCACACAATTAAGTAACATCTTGTAAATAAGGAATGCAATGAATTGCATTCATAAATAAATAAATAATAACACATTGTTGTGTTCGTTATTATACAGTTCTGACATTTATGGGCATTTATCTTGCGTTTCGTTTCGTCACTGCAAACCGATTTAAATTCACTTACGTTCAACTGGTTTGTTGTCCAAGTTGTAAAACAATTTTATCTCATGCGATTTTAATTGGATGCACATTTTATGGCAAAAATAAGTGAAATTGTCATATCATCATTATAGGCTGCATACGTTGGGAGCAAACAATTATTTTTTACACCGAACAAATCGTTACGACTTACTTGACTATACACGTTTCCACGTGTTACAATATAAATTATTTCAAATGATGTGGTTAATATTCCTAATATGTTAACATTAACAAAAGGGCTGATTTGAAAAGCACAATCATGAGTGCATTTCAAATTGCATTCGTGATTTATTAAAATCATTTTAATATATAATTTGTTATATTTGTTTAAATTTCAGATTATGGTTTTAAAGATTTCATTGCAAATCATAGCACCCATTTTGTGTGGTAATAATTTGAAACAAGTATCCCCACAGATGATTATTATTTGGGGAAACTGTAATTATACATCACGCTGTTATTAGGGGATATTAAACAATTGATTCCAAAATACTACGTAATGAACTTGTCATAATATAGTATTAGAGACTAGCGAATTACTACGCTTTAGAGAGATTATTTTGTGTGAGAATTTGCCTTTGTGGCTTATTAAAAAATCGTTGTAGACTAGCGCAACTGTAATATTTTTGAAATCTCCCCTCAAACGTAACAAAACGTTTTTCTCTGTGTCTGCAGTGTTGGGAAGAGAAGAAGTCCGTTGGGGGAGCTAAATCCGGTGACTTAGGTGGTCAGGTGGCACGATAACGCAGTAGTAATAAGATAGAGTGTATACAAATCTTAAGGGGACCCCCCCATTCTCGGGGTCATTTTTTTTTTTTTTTTTTGATTTGATTCGAATCTACACTAAATCAAGAATGTCCCTACAAGTGACGGCTAAAGGGCTCCGCAAACTTTAAACGCGGTTTTTCTTTTGCGAATGGCGGGCACGATAACTCAAAAACTAATAACCCAACCGATTCCAAATTTTTACACGTTTCTCTGTGAGTGTATAGCTATCGTATGAACTAGGATAAAGCCAATCGGTGAAGATCTTCCTTACTTTTATACCCGCCACCATAGTATGGAGGGTATATTAGTTTTGTTTTTCCGTTTGTAACGCATCGAAATAATCATTTCCGACCCTATAAAGTATATATATTCTTGATCAGCGTAAAATTCTATGACGATTTAGTCCATGTCCGTCTGTCCGTCTGTCTGTCTGTTGTAATCACTCTAGCGTCTAAACGAATGGAGATAGATCGCCAAAATTTTGCATAAAGTCGTCTTTTGTCTGCAGGCAGGTCAAGTTCGAAGATGGGCTATATCGGCCCACGTTTAGCCATAGCTCCCATATAAGGGTACCCCCCCCCCATTTTCGGTTCTTGAGCGTGTTTTTCAAACGAATTCGCTGAAATTTGCTACATTGTGTTCTTATTGGGTACTAAATCTCCCCACTAAAAATTATAAATATAGGTCCATTTTTTCGGATAGCCCCCATATAAGGATACCCCCCATTTTCGGTGTTTTGGGGTTCTTGAGCGCGTTTTTTAACCGAGTACGCTGAAATTTGGTACATTGGGCTCCTATTAGGTACTAAATGTCTCCACAAAAAATTATGGATATAGGTCCACTTTTTCGGGTAGCCCCCATATAACGGTACCTCCTAATTTTCAGTATTTTGGGGGTTTTGATCGTATTCTTCCGCCGAATTAGCTGTAATTTAGTAGTTTGAGTTCTTAATAGGTACCAAATCTCTCCACAAAAAAATATAAATATATGTCCATGTTTTCGGATAGCCCCCATATAAGGGTACCCCCAATTTTCGGTATTTTGGGGTTCTTGAGCGGGTATTTCAACCGAATTTGCTGCAATTCGGTATTTTGTAGTCGTATATGGTAACAAATCGCCCTACCAAAAATTATTAATATTCGCCCCATTTTTGGGGTAGTCCTTATATAACCCCCTTTTTATACCCTCCACCATAGTATGGAGGGTATATTAATTTTGTTTTTCCGTTTGTAACTCATCGAAATAATCATCTCCGACCCTATAAAGTATATATATTCTTGATCAGCGTAAAATTCTATGACGATATAGCCATGTCCGTCTGTCGTCCGTCTGTCTGTCCGTCTGTCTGTTGTAATCACTCTAGC